CCCCAAATGGTAGAGTTAGAAACATACCAGGGGACTCCAATTTAATCCCATCAAGGTGGCATGTACCAATGCAATCTCACTAGTACAAGTGATCAATTTCAGTTCACAATTGATCATAATGAAAGGACTAAGAGTCAAAGGGAGCACATAAGCAAGTCTAGTACCTGCTAACACTAACCGATAGAATAAATAAAGGGGAGAGTGATCCAACATGGGAAGTGAGATACTCAGCAGACTCATAGAATGGCAGATGTCCTAAATAGCACTCTGGCCTCAGAATCAGCCCTAAAGGCATTCAGATCTGGCTGAAAAGCCCATGAGAGTATTTCAGGCATGGAAAGCCAAGACACTCTGGCAAAAGATCTCTGTGAGTGAGATCTCAGTGGAAAGAACAGGTCTTCAAAGAAGGAGGTACCTTTCTCTGAAGGGAGGAGAGAACCTCCACTTTGACTATGACCTTGTCTAAACAAGATAAGAGTCGGAGAACTCAGAGGGCTTCCATAGCCTTGGAAACTCATGACTGGAGCATAGGGAGATTACTGATGCCATAGACAGGAGTGTCAATTGGTAAAGTCAACAACAGGAGTCACTGTGCACTTACTCCTCATGTAGGATCTCTGTCCTTAATGTGCTGTGCATTGAGATTTAATGCTATACGAGGTACTCAAATAATATATTTCACTTTGTGGTTCTATGGGGGTGCAAACTGTTGAAATCTTTACTTAATGCATACTAAACTGATCCTCTGTAAAAAAAAAAAAAAAAAAAGAAAAGAAACTATCAACTCCCAACTTGACTCTCACTGGGATTAAACATGACAATAGGTCTGATCTGATTTCATCATCATTAAAAAAAAAATCATCTATTATTTTTCACTTTATGTTTCTGTGTGGGAGCAAACTGTTGAAATCCTTACTTAAGGTATACTAAGCTGATCTTCTGTATATTAAGATAATCGAAAATGAATCTTGATGTGAATGGAAGGGGAGAGGGAGTGGGGAAGGGGAGGGTTGTGGGTGGGAGGGACGGTATGGGGGGGAAGCCATAGTAATCCATTATTCGTACTTTGGAAACGTATATTCATTAAATAAAAGTTAAAAAAAAAAAAAGACATCTGTGTCTCACATCTTAGGACCAGAGTTTGATTCCTGGCTTCCTAGTAATACAGATTCTTGGAGGCAATTGTGACGGCTCAGTGATTAGGTTCCTGTCGGCCACATGAGAGATACCTGGACTGAGTTCCTGACTCCTGACTTAGCCTTTGCCATCATGGGCATGTGGGACTGAAACAGCACATGAAAGCACTCTGTCAGTTTGGCTGGCTGGCTGGGTCTCTACCTCTCAAACAAAAAAAGTTTAAATATCTATATAAAATATTACTTCTGCTTATAAATCTATGTGTTGAATGGTATTTTAATTGTGATAATTCTACTTCAGATAATCAAAAACACAGGAAAAGTATTAATACTCATAATAATATTATTTATAATTTGAAAAAACTTCTAACAAAATAGTACTTAAATATATTATGGTATGTTTTAATGATGCAAATTTATGTACTCATCAATAATTAAGCTTATGAAGTATATTAACTTGAGTCATAAGTGTGTATCTGTGATATGAAGCCACTAAGTTACAGAAGATTGGAAGGAATTGCATTGGAACGTAGTCAGTACTGGAATTGCAGGTTTATTTATTGTTCTGCATATAACTGGTTTACTTAGAAGCTAAATTTGGTAGAATACAATCAAAAGGTGATTTCACTAATTCTTCCACTGTTCATTCAAGTACACTCTATGATCTTGTTCAATCTCACCCTTTGAATCATGTTTCCATCATGATTTGTAGTTCTTTTGGTCTCTCAGATATGAAATACTCCAGTCGAGGTCAATGCAACCCCGATCTGCTTTAAAATAATCTCTTCCTCAGCTTGAGACAGGCTTCAATTTGCAGATCTGCAATGAAAAAAAAGTCACATCACTAGCTCTCTCCTCTTCTCACTCACTTCTTTCATTTGTTGTTCTTTTGGGTTATTCCTGGGCTGAAGTAGAGGAATGATGGGAGATGAGGTAAGAAATAAGGTCTTTTTGTCAGTACTTATTTTATATATTTGAAAGGAAGGGTTAGAGACAGACAGAGAAAGAGAGAAAAAGAGATATCTTCCATCTACTGGTCACTCCCCAAACTGCCATAAAGGCCAGTGCTGTAATAGGCTGAAACCAGGAGCCAGGAGCTTCTTCTGAGTCTTCCACATGGGTGCAGGAGCCCAAGCATTTGGGCTATCCTCTGCTGCTTTTCCAGGCACATTATCAGGGTTCTGGATAGGAAGTAGAGCAGCTGGGACTTGAACCAGAACCCATTTGGGAGGCCAGCACTGCAGGTAGTGGCTTAACTTCTTTTGCCACAATGCTGACCCTGTAAAGAAGGTCTTAATGTGACTGGTCCACTGTCATCTACAGAGGATACCTTCTGGAACCAACACTTCCCACAAGCTTATCCTCTCCTTCTTATGCTTCTTCAGAATCCCACACCTTCTCTTTTGGGATCTCACCGTTTTTCTGGGTGATCTGCCTCCTGACCAGGCCACTAGACATCCCTACTCACTTTCTAGATTCAAAGTATCAAGTTCAAGTGTTAAAGCTGCTGCCTGCAGTGCTGGCATCCCATAGGGGCACCGGTTCTAGTCCTTGCTGCTCCTCTTCCTAGCCAGTTCTCTGCTATGGCCTGAGAACGCAGTAGAGGATGGCCCAAGTCCTTGGGCCCCAACAAGGGTGTGGGAGACCAGGAAGAAGCTCCTGGTTCTTGGCTTTGAGTTGTCCCAGCTCCTGCTTTTGTGGTTATCTGGGGAGTGAACCAGCAGATGGAAGATTCATTCTCTCTCTCTCTCTCTCTCTCTCTCTCTCCCCCTCTTTCTGTCTGTAACTCTGCCTTTCAAATAAATAAGTAAATCTTTAAAAAAATGAAAAATAATAATAAACAAAGTGCCAAGTTCCTTTTAAAGACTCCCCTGCCCCTGGCAGGAAGTCCTCCTGGGTGGAAGCCAACTGCAGAGTAGTACCAGAAGCTCCTTTTGGAGGCTTTACCCTCGGAGAAGGGTACACCTGCAAGTTCCTGCCCTGCTGGGTCCACTCCACCCTGTCCCTTCACACTGTGCAGCCAGAAGCCCCTCTCAGCATGGTCCTTTTGCTTTCACGGTCTTCCAAGTATGAGTCAGGTGCCAAGTCCATGTTCCCAAAATGGAAGATACGCCAGGCTTCCTAGGTGATTCTCTGAAGTGCTCCCTGTCCAGACTTGAGATGACAGGAGCTGCCCCATGGATGAGAGAACCCCCCAGCACTCTGACAGCTCTCTCTGTAAGTCTTTCTTATGACATCTCATTCCCCAACTTCTTAGGACTACGTCCTGGCCTGTGTCTAGACAGTCTTGAGCTGGACAACAAGTTCAGACATTCAGAAAACCAGGTATATTATTCTCTGCAGCAGGAGCCTCAGCCTTTGACAGAGGGTGCTACCAGAAAAGTTTCATTTTCAATTGCTATTTTATAATGGGATGAGGGGGAAGAAACAGACTTTAGCAAAGGAAAGGCAAAGGACAGACTCTAACAGCTACTGAAGTACCTGTTTTTAACACCTTTGAAAGTAGTGTGAGTTTAGACTAGACTAAACTCAGTGACAGCTTTGTCCTCCAGGACCTGCAGTGTCTCTGACTCCTTGGAATAAAATCGTCTTGTCAGTATAAGTGCAGAAAGCAATATGAAAACTGGAAAGGCTGCATACACCTGCATTTATTCTTTCAGTCAGTCTTATCGAAAGTAGAAGTAGTCACTCTTCTGTTTCATTTTTGATATGAATCACTGGAAAATCAATGTATTTTCTGATGATACATTAACAAAACAATTTAGTATCTATACAGAATTTACACTCTCAGAGCATTTTAAATAATTAAATAGATGATTGCTATTTAATTTATAAATATCATATTTTGATTCCTTTTGTGGCTATTAAATATTACAATAATTTTAGTAAAAATAATTAATCATACAAATTGCTCTATAAATAGTCAAAACTAAAAATAGCTATTTTGAAATGTAAGAACTTTGAGTTTCAAATAAAAATCTAAGGGGCCAGTGTTGTGGCACAGTGGATTAAACCACTGTGATGCTGGCAATCCAAATCAGAGAACCAGTTCAAGTCCCTGTTTCTCTGCTTGTGATTCATCTCCCTGCTAATGCATCTGGACTAGCAGTGAATCATGGTCAAAATATATGGGCCCTGCCACCCATGTGGGAGTCCAGGATGGAGTTCCTGGGTCCTGGCTTCGGCCAAGCGCAGCCCTGGTTGTTGCAGCCATTTGAAGAGTGAACCAGTGAATGGAATATCTCCCTCCCTCCCCCCAACTCCCTCTCCTTCATTCTGTGTTTCATTCTGTCTTTCCAATAAATAAATAAATACGTCATCTAGTAAATCTAAGTGAGGGCCTGGCATGTTAAGCCAACACCTGTGACTCTGATATCCCATATGGGTACAGGTTCAAGCCTGGCTGCTCCACTTCCCATCTCGCTCCATGCTGGTGTGTCTAAAGCAGTGGAAGATAACCCAAGTGTTTGGGCTCTTGCCATCCATGTGGGAGACTTAGATGAAGCTCCTGTGCAGGGGCCCAAGGACTTGGGCCATCTTCTACTGCTTTCCCAGGCCATAGCAGAGAGCTGGATTAGAAGTGGAGCAGCTGGGACTTGAACCAGCACCCATATGGAATGCCGGCATTACAGGCAGCAGCTTTACCCACTAAGCCAAAGCACCAGCCACTTCTGTGTACCTTTTAGAAATTTATTAAAGCAATATAGAAATAAAAAGTCACTTATACATCACAGCTATTATTTTAAAACAAGATATGAGAAACACATAGACATCGCTCCTATAAATTCTTTATTCAATTATATAGGCTCTTTAATGTGGCCATTTTCAGAAGTTCTTAAAGGATGTATTTTTTCTTCTTTGCAGTTGATTGGGTTTGTGTATGCCTGTTATGTGATCAGTATTTCCATGGAAGAAGAAGACACCTGTAAGTAGTGCTTCATCTTTTCACTATGAAAAGCCTCCAAAAGTAAATATTACAGGATTGTGAAATCTTTCACAATTGAATATGGAGTGATTTAATTAGGCACAATAAAGTTATAGTCAAGATGGTAACATAAATTGTACATCCATAAGGTGGCACCAAATACTAAGCTCTTGGTCCAAGTTGTGTGGGAGCAGGCACTGACTCAGAAGTCTAGGATTGCTGTCATATCATATTTTAGAAACTTCTTCAGGGACTAAACATTATGCTGAGGGGATAATTAAAGGGGTTTTATGCATCACCAATTGTAAACATGGTAGTGGCAGAATGCTGAAGTCTGATAGCATTATGATCGATACAGTAATACATTATAGCAAGACCTGCATGTGTGTAAATTATATGAAATACTATGAGAAAACTAAAAATTAGAACTTTCAAGATGGGATTAAAAACACAACAGATGCTAAGAAAGAGTAACTGGGATGCTTAGCTGCTGTGTCGTGTGTTTGCAGAACGCCCAAATGAAAGATACTCATATACTATGACCTGCAGTTAGGTGACTAATTTAGCAATGTAGGTCAACACATGGCACATATTGAAAACTTCCTAATATACGCAGGACCACAAAAAGTACACGGAAAATGAAGTTAAAAGATAATGCACTATTATATAAGACACTTTTGGCACAACTCTGTTAAGAATTCTTGGCCGGCGCCGTGGCTCACTAGGCTAATCCTCCGCCTAGCGGTGCCGGCACACCGGGTTCTAGTCCCGGTCGGGGCGCCGGATTCTGTCCCGGTTGCCCCTCTTCCAGGCCAGCTCTCTGCTGTGGCCAGGGAAGTGCAGTGGAGGATGGCCCAGGTGCTTGGGCCCTGCACCCCATGGGAGACCAGGAAAAGCACCCGGCTCCTGGCTCCTGCCATCGGATCAGTGCGGTGCGCCGGCCGCAGCGCGCCGGCCGCGGCGGCCATTGGAGGGTGAACCAACGGCAAAGGAAGACCTTCTCTCTGTCTCTCTCTCTCACTGTCCACTCTGCCTGTCAAAAAAAAAAAAAAAAAAAAAAACTCTGTTAAGAATTCTTGTAATACAAGAAAATTTTAAATTTTAACTTAGTTTTTGTTTAACTTTTATTTAATGAATATAAATTTCCAAAGTACAGATTATGGATTACAATGGTTCCCCCCCATAACGTCCCTCCCACTCGCAACCCTCCCCTTTCCCACTCCCTCTCCCCTTCCATTCAAATCAAGATTCATTTTCGATTCTCTTTATATACAGAAGATCAGTTTAGCATACATTAAGTAAAGATTTTAACAGTTTGCTCCCACACAGAAACCTAAAGTGAAAAATACTGTTTGAGTACTAGTTATAGCATTAATCTCAATGTACAGCACACTAAGGACAAAGATCCTACATGAGGAGTAAGTGCACAGTGACTTCTGTTGTTGACTTAACAAATTGACACTCTTGTTTGTGGCATCAGGAATCACCCTAAGCTCTTGTCATGAGCTGCCAAGGCTATGGAAGCCCCCTGAGTTCTCTGACTCTGATCATATTTAGACAAGGCCATGGTCAAAGTGGAAGTTCTCTCCTCCCTTCAGAGAAAGGTACCTCCTTCTCTGATGACCCGTTCTTTTCACTGGGATCTCACTCGTGGAGATCTTTCATTTAGGTTTTTTTTCCCCCCAGAGTGTCTTGGCTTTCCATGCCTGAAATACTCTCATGGACATTTCAGCCGGATCCTCATGCCTTAAGGGCTGATTATGAGGCCAGAGTGCCGTTAGGACATTTGCCATTCTATGGGTCTGCTGTGTATCTCACTTCCCATGTTGGATCATTCTCTCCCTTTTTGATTCTATCAGCTAGTATTTGCAGACACTATTCTTGTTTATGTGATCCCTTTGGTTCTTAGTCCTATCATTACGATCAATTGTGAACAGAAATTGATCACTGGGACTAGTGAGATGGCACTGGTACATGCCACCTTGATGGGATTGAATTGGAATCCCCTGGTATGTTTCTGACTCCACCGTTTGAGGCAAGTCAGCTTGAGCATGTCCCGAATTGCACATCTCTTCCCTCTCTTATTCCCACTGTGAGAAACAGTGACTTGATCAGCTCTTGTCCTGACGGTTGATGTACAATGTAATACTTTATCCATTTTAGTATTTTGTTTTTGTTCTAGTACCATTGGTTGAACTCTGTAATTAACACACAATTGTTCTTAGGTGTTTAAATTTTAACTGAAAAGTGATCCCTGTTAGGAATTTGGAAAACATTATGTTGAGTGAAATAAGCCAATCCCAAAGGGACAAATACCACTTGTTCTCCTTGATAGGTGACAACTAACTGAGCACCAAAAAGGAAACCTGTTAAAGTGAAATGAACACTATGAGAAACGGTGACTTGATCAGCCCTCACCCTGACTGTTGATGAGCAGCTTAATATGTTATCCCTCTTAGTATTTTGTTTGTTTGTTCTACTTAATACTTTTGGTTGAATACTGTAATCAATACACAATTCTTCTTAAGTGCTGAAATTTAACTGAAAAGTGATCGCTGTTAAATTTTAACTTAGTTTTAAAAACTAATTTGTCTCAGGTAAACAAGTCATACTTAACCAGAACATTGGTTCTATCATTGTAGTTATTGTCTGGATTGTTCAATGGACTCTTCAACCAAGTGAGGATAAGTAGCAAGCCATGGTAACTTCTAGAACTCAGCTTCAAAAAGGTCTGATGAATGATTCCCACCAGGCAGATGCAGTGCATGATACATGAACTAGAATTCAGTAGACAGGAGAAGCTTGTCTCAATTTATTTGACCAAATGGAAGAAACATTAGACCTTATGATGAAACATATCAGGCATTGGAAACATGTAAATAGGGAACAGTGTTGTGGCACTACAGGTTAAGCTGCTTCCTGCAATGCCAGCATCCCATAGGAGAACCGGTTCAAGTCCTAATGGCTTCGCTTTCCATCCAGCTCCCTGCTAATGAACCTGAGAATGTAATGGAAGAGGCTGCTGCCACCCATGTGGGAGACTCAGATAGAGCCAGGCTCTTGTCTTCATCCTGGCCCAAACACGGTCATTGCAGCTATTTGGGAAGTGAACCAGATCTCTCTTCCTCTCTGTAACTCTGCCTTTCAAAAAAAAATCAGTATTTTATATTAAAAAATGAAAAAGAGAACATGAAAATATATAATACTACCTATTTTATTGACTTAAGGGTTTTTTTTTTTAATGCTAGATGAACCAAAAAGTGCCTGACACTTCAGATTACAGTTGTAATCACAACACTTCTCACCTTGAGGATAATTCAAAAAGTGATCTTTGCAGGAGTTCAATTAGCAAACCCATAGTCTGTAAAGTTAGTGTATAAAAAGACAGCACCTTGCTTCTGACTCATAAGCAAGATAGGCAGCACAGCCAAAAACCATGAGCATGAGCAATTTTAATTGGAATTGAGACCTAATGGAAACTATTTGAAAATTGGTTTCCATAAATACTTCAAAAAATTAATACATTGATAAATTTCAGCTGAATATCTTAAAAATATTTTTGAGTAGGTAGCAAAATAAAAGTCTGCAGAAGGCAGTTTATCAATAGTCTTTCTTCTCATACAATAAATATATTAAAAACTTTTCCTTGAGACTTGTGATATTAAGCAACACTAGAAAATGGAAAATACCATGTAAAATATAAGCCTCATCTGAAATGGGCAAATGTTTTTGACCTTCTCTCAGCCTCCCCTCAGAGTTATAATGTCAGTGTGTATGGATTGTGTTGCCACTGGCAGATACTGTAGTTCCACTGACTTTTAAGTCTTTAATTAGCTTACATTTCTTTAGAGAAATCTCTGAATCAGCTGTTTTAATGGCCATCAAATGAATTGAAGCAGCCGCTAGCAGTCTATTCTATTAATGGTTTAATTCTAGTGTTTGTTATTAGGGCTATCCATTAGGTTACTGAGAGACATCTGGATATAGTGGTTTGTGTTGCCATCAGTTCAAATAATAGTTAGAGTCAGAAAGAGCCTTCAGTGCTCAAAACAAAGTAAATATGTCCAAGACCAACTTGACATGATAATCTGCTGGAAAAGGGATGACAATGAAAAGTAATCACAAACCTTTTAGTCTGATAGTTCTCAAGCGAGGATAATTTTACATTTTTATTGAAAGAAGTAGGAATCAAAAGTGCATATGTAATTAAATTGTCCCAGGGTCTTCAGAAGGCAGATGTGAGCAAAAAGTAATGTCTGAAACCAATTGCAATGATCTCATAGACTATCACAAGCCGTGCCAACATATAGCTTTTAGGTGCAATCATGAACTGCCCTTTGGATATGACATTACCAACTTACAGTCAAGAAGATGTGTCCTTTGAATTGTTTTTTTTTTTTTGAAATCTAAACATAAGGAAACAATACTGGTAGCCACCCACTTTGTCTAAGTACACTGCTGGAAAGCTTATTCTGAAAGGAAAGAGTAAATATAAGGTAATGTCACAGTATTTTGGCAGACAATATATAATTCATCATTTTGATTACTCTTTAAGTAATGAACATGTCTGCATTATTGAAAATAGAAAGGTAAGCCTTGTTCTTGGACTGAAAGCTGTCACCAGCCTTAAAAACAGCCCCTGCATCTTTCCTCTGCATTACTAAAGTGGCTCTATGGGGCTAATATGTCAGATGGACATTTCTGACGGGTAATACTTGCTTGAGGAGACACTTCCAGCCATCCATTTTCTCAGTGACCTCTCAGTGTCTTTTACAAACTATTTTTATAAAGGTTATGATCGCAGTTCCAAGACAATGAAATTAAAACCTTGCAAAAGTAAAGTCAGTGCTTTGCATCACTTGTATGAATAAAAAGACCTATTTATATTTCTTTCTTCAATTTGTATTTCATCTTTATATATATATATATATATATGAGCACTTTTGTGAGAATCGAATCTTTGGAATCTGTAATCATAATAATCTGTCAACATTTTGTTT